GACTTCACTATTCACTATAGACCCGGTAAGCAGAATGGGAATGCCAACGGGTTGTCCAGACAGATGGCCCTGGAGAAGTGATCCGTTAGAACTTCCCCAGACATCCCCAAGCCGATCCGGTGGGATCAGACTGTGTATGCCGGCTTGTGGTTAAGGGGGAGCTGCGTGATGGAACTGCTGCCTTTTCATGGGTTTTCCTTCTTTTTTACAAGTGTTTCCACTGTATTTTCGTTTACTGTTCCCACTCCCTGTTCTAGAGCGCTTCCCCGAAGGGAATTCATTCAACTCCTGAACGGGGCCACCCCAATACCTCATTTAGAATGTTAGGTTAGAATGTTCACACCTCGCAACATAAGTGTCAAAACCGCAAACCGTTTCTGGGGAAACAGTTAATGAATGCTTCCCCTAGGTGGACGCCACAGACGAACGCCAACAGAGGGAGCATTCGTGGATTGTCTCCCGAATGAGGACCTTCCCGGTGCCCCATTAGAACATTCACACCAATTGATCAGAACGTTTGCACTCACAACATAGGTGTGAAATCGCAAAGGAAGTAATTAACGAGTGCTCCCCTGGGTGGCCACCATTCGTATAGACCAGTCATAGGCAACCTTCGGCACTCCAGATGTTTTCGACTATACCTCCTATGATGCTTTGCCAGCATTACGGGTTTAAGAGCATTATGGGGGATGTAGTCCAAAACATTTAGAGTGTCAAAGGTTGCCTATCCCTGGTATAGACGAACGCCAGCCAGGGGGAGCATTCAGACCCTTAAAGGAGACGCTTCCCTTGTTTGGGTTTCACACCTGAACAATTCTTCTGGCAGTTACCCACTTATACATAAACTGCACATTTTAGAGTGGCCTTTTATTATGGTCAGCCTAGGGCACACATTTGCAATAATCATGCTGTCTAATCAGCATCTTGATATGTCACACTTGTGAGGTGGATGGATTATCTCGTCAAAGGAGAAGTGCTCACTAACACAGATTTAGACAGATTTGTGAACAATATTTGAGAGAAATAGGACTTTTGTGTACATAGAAAAAGTCTTAGATCTTGAGTTCACCTCATGAAAAATGGGGGCAAAAACAAAAGTGTTGCATTTATAATTTTCTTCAGTATATATACATATATATGCACACACCTACATACACACACAATTTGAGCTTTGCACTCGACGTCTCCCAAAATGTTTGCCCTGGTGCTAAGCTCCAGCCAAATTAAATATATAAACTTGATAGAGAGTACTCTGAGGTCTTTTTAATGTGATAACATGTGCTTTACTGTGAAAAGCAGGAAAATGCCAACGATACAGTAAGCGTTTCAGTACTCTTAGCAGGAATAGTCAAAACGTTGGAAAGAAAATGTAAAAAAAAAATAATGTAAAGATAAAAAGTATAAAGTGTTCTATATAGTGTAGAATAGTACCAAAAATGTGATACACTAAATATGTGTTGTAACTACAAAATAGAAAATCAAAACGACACAAATCTAGGGAAACAGAAATACCTGACAATCAAAGTTTAGTACAAAGATTTTAAACCATTGGCAAAAAAGGTTATTCAAAATATTTAGCAAACAAATAGTCCCAGTCCAGGGATCTCAAATATTGAGCATAAAAGAAAATCTGATAAATTTAGAATAAAAAGTATTTCCTCAAAGGGCAACCTAAACACATTTCAACCATAAGCATAGAAACTACACTACATGTAAGAATGAATAGTTAACAATAAGGCAGATAACAATGTAGGGATTTTTTTTTTCCATTCAAACCCCAGGGTGCTACCATGTCAAGGGTGTAAATCCAATAAGCCTTACAGTGTAGAGAATCTATATCTCGATTGCCCCCACGTGGTTTTGTAGGGATGTGGTAAATCCAAATGAATTTCAGTGATGGTAGAGAATGTCCCATTTGCAAAAAAATATGAGCCACAGGTTTATTTGAGAATCCATAGAGTGGTGCCATACTAATGGAGGATCTGTGGTCTCTAATTCTCTCTCTCAGATAATTTGTGGTTTTACCCACATATGATAAACTACAAGGGCAAGGGCAACTACAAGGGTTTTATCACTGTTAAAGAGAAGCCAATGTCTCTTAAACACCTTTTTCAAAGCTGGAGAGCTAGTGTTAAATGTTTGCACACAGATCACCCTGTTATAATTCTTGTGGTCATCAGAATGAATGAATAATTTTTGGCATGTTATCATTAAACAGCCTGTCAGCTTAATTTTGTTATCCGTTGCATTGCAAACCAAATATATACAATGTCCCCATCATCAATACTTTAACCCATATAGATTGCACTGATGTTTTACAAGTGTTTGTTAATTGATTTTGACTTGCTGTTTAATGTTTATTTTACTTGTTTTATAGGAACGCATTGGGCAATCAAGATATTTCACGAATTGCTATTTTCATTGCAAAACAAGGAAGTGACAATTGAGCAAGCAATAATTGTATTTGTAAAACCAGACAAAGTTGAGGTCAGTATTGCATGTTTTTATTATTACCCATTCGATATATAAAGTATATAGCATAAAAAATGAATCACTTTTGTTTCCAGTTATGTAGCCCTAGCCACCCCTCCTTTGGCTTAGTGTTCAATCAAATCTTACAGCACATTGTGTTTACTTTAGAAGGTGTTATGACCTGCTTTGTTAATTGAACTTAACTCACACTCAGGAGACTGTTGTAGGATCAAACAGGCTATTAAAAAAGCAGGCAATAAAAAAATTCTAAATTAAACACACTGAATAGCTAAAAATGTATGCTCTTTTTCAGTAAACACATTGGGAAGCTTTATGAGTCACAGCCAGGGGAAGTGTGAGTAGGGCTGGAGTAACAGACACAAAAACATGATGTACCTCCTAAATGGCTTAAAATAGGGCAGTGTGACTGGGGGGAGATGGGGGTGTCTTTACACTAAAACAACTTTATTAAGCTAAAAATAATGCTCACTGCATACTGATCACTATAACGGTCTGGTGAAGGTGTGAGGAATCACCAAACTCCATCCCAGCGTAAGCTGATGTTCTCAGCTTCAAAGTTGAAATGGATTGGTATAAAATATGTGCACAGGCAAAAAATAATTTTGTTTCAATTTGTTAATTTTTTCAATTTTGGTTTGTCTGAAATTTGAAAATGATCGATTTAGAATTAAATGAAATCTGAAAAAATTCAGAAACAAAGAGAAATTCAGATGATATTTGTCTCCAAGGATACCAAATTAGGGTGCTGTTTAGCAGATACCGCCTTAATAAAGTAGCCTTATAAATCGTAATCCCATATAAGGGTGCTAAGCAGTGTCCTAATTTGTAAGTATCTTTAAAATGTAATCCCACATATGGGTACCAAATTATTGAGCAATCTACTAAACAGCTCCCTAATTTGGTATCCTCAAATAGCAATCCCACATTAGGGTATCAAATTAGTAATCTATTTACAAAACAGCTGAAAGAGCAAATCTAAGAACAGCCTTTTCTTAATTTTGCTGTTTCAGTTACTTAGTAGATACATTCCTAATTTATTAGCCTATTAATATTTATGGCAATCCCACGTAAGAATACCAATTTATCTGTATCTTCTAAACAGCTTGTGGCAAACCTAGCCACTCGGACTATAACTGGACACTATGCCTGTAAGGGTTGCCTATAGGTCTGGTCTACTTCATGTATTCCCTGCATTGCCTGTACCTATCTGTTCCGTCAAATGCAAATGGCGGTTTGTATGGGGATTCTCGTTCGTTTCACGAACGGCACTTTGGAGGGCCGTTCGTGAAACGAATGCGATACCCCCTAATAGCCCACACACTTAGAGGCGTGTGGCGCTAGTTAACCGATTGCAACATTGTTGCAATCGGTTATTAGAGGCTCTCCTGGGTGGCCGTCGTTCGACTACCGACCATGCGGCGGTCGGCCATCTTGGATCCTTTGTTCCCCAGCGGGGTTATGTCGTCGAGCGCCTGGTACTAAAAACGGCTACTCGACGGCATGAGCCCCGCTGAGCCTCCAGGACGTTCGGGAGTTTCGGGACGTTCGGTATTTTGTTCCCTAATAGCAATCGGTTCTTTGTGTATGTTTTATATGAATTGTGTTGTTCGTGCGGCGTTCGGTTATTTTAGCTGGGATCTGAGCGGTAATCTCACGAATGATACCCTCAGACCCCAGCTATCTGCCGAACGTCCATTCGTGTAAATCCACTATATATTCACCAAGTTATTGATTTTTATGTGAATTATCGGTTCTGCTGCACGAGGGGATAATCCACTTAACGGTGCATTCTGGGAAGACTATCCCTCTCGTGCAGCGGTGCCTGATGGGAGAAATATGGTGTAATGTAAGTCCCCCATGTAGTCCCCTCCTGTACAACCCCTGTAATGTCAGTTTGGAAACCCCTTGCATGGGGAACTGCATAAATACTGTGACCTGTGATTAAAACCTCAGTTGACTCCCAGCCTATGTGTCGTCTAGTTCTTGGGAAGGAAGGGTTACTGCAGTGCTGTTTGGATTATGGTATGCTGATTCCCTGGATTATCCTTTGTTGTTCCTGTTACCCAGCGGAGATATCGTGGATTATACTGCCTCTCCGCTACAATTGGTGGCAAGCGACGGGATTGAATTTACACAGCAAAGCAACGTTCGGCAGATTTTTAAACGAATCAAGGAACAAGCATTCGGGAATTAGCGCATTCGAATAAACCTCACGAACAGCAGGTGAATGGGAACAGATTACGCCCTGCTAAAACAGAGCACATTAAAGGAGCTGCTGGAAGCAAGAGGAGCAATCGCCAGTAACAAGGCAAAGGCTGTCCTAATTACGGAGCTCATGGAAGGAGACAGAGCCGCAGCTGCTGCAGCACCTCGAATGGAGGGACAAACCCACGAATTTACAGCGGAATTCCGAGCACGAATGGCTTTATTTCCTGAACCCCCATCTACAGAGATGATTAACCGGCTGTTCGCTGATGTACAGGAGTACATTATGGCTAGGGGACCGCCAGGGAACCAGCAAGCCGGGGAAAGAGCCGCAACGCCAGTCCATATTTTCCCAGGGAAAGCCAAAATCCCATATCAAGCCTTCAAAAGCTATGTGGAGACAGAGGGTGGCGTTGACGACTATTTACAGGACTTCGAGAGACTGTGTTTGCTGCATGAAATTAATGATGCAGACAGAGTACCCCTACTAGCGGGGAGATTATCTGGGCGAGCCGCCGAAGCGTACCGGGCAGTACCAGACGAGGATAGTAGAGACTACGCTAAAGTAAAACGGGCCATCCTAGCCCGGTATGCCATCACATCAGAGGCATACCGAAAGAAGTTTCGGGACATTAAAAAACCCACTAAGGACACCCATGTAGAATGGGCGCACCAGCTGCAACGAGCTGCCAAGGGGTGGCTGGAGGCCGCCCAAGTTGATACATTGGAGGGTCTGTTCCAGCTAATGGTACTGGAACAATTCTTCAATGGCGTCCCGACCTACCTACAAAACTGGATCCGGGACAGAAAGCCACACACCCTGCAGGAAGCGGCTAATATGGCAGATGATTTCCAGGATAATCGGAGAGATCAACCCATACCAACCCGAGCCACCATCCCCCCTGCAATGACCAGCCCTCCAGGGGGCCCCGCAACTCACCAGCGACCAGTGGTAAGCCAGAATTCCTACCCCCCCAGATATTCAGCACGTCCACCAATCCGGTGCCATACCTGCAACCAACATGGGCACATCCAGAGAGACTGCCCACGGAACCGGCCTCGACCCAGCTGGAATAACGCAGCCCCGAGCAACCGTGCCGCAGTCCATTGTCTACAGGCCGAATCCTACCAAAATCTGGAGTTGGGGACAACCCGGGAGGAACCCCTCGGCACTCTACACGAGGTGAACCCTATCCAGGCCGCCTCCGATAACCGCCAAGGGCACCGCCAGGAAGTACACATGGAGGGGAGGAAAGTACAAGGACTTTGTGACTCTGGAGCCACCCTAACTTTAGTACGCAGTCATCTGGTACCAAAGCCCAAGCTCACGGGGGACTGTGTGGCTGTGCGGGTGGCTGGGGGAGCCATTTACAAAGTACCCACGGCCAAGGTGCACTTGAATTGGGGAGCGGGGCACGGGAATGTATATGTGGGGATGATGCAAGACTTGCCAGCGGATGTGATTTTGGGCAACGATTTGGGGGAGCTGACTTCAGCTTTTGTTCCACAGCCCACCGTACAAGAAGCATACCCGGTTGTGACCCGGCAACAGGCCCGCACCACTGCACCATCCGAACACTCTGAGGCTCAGGTAAGCAATGACCCTCCCCTACCCCCTATCATGCCCTGGGCCAATTCCACAGAGTTCGGGGCCGAAGTAGCCCTAGATCCTTCGTTACAGGTATACAAAGACCGCATTGATAAAGATCAAGCCGGGTTAGAGGGGGAAAGATATATCTGGGACAAAGGACTACTATATCGGCACGCAGAGAAGGTAGTGTCCGGGTCAATACCGTTGCCCATTAAACAGCTAATAGTGCCTCGAAAGTATAGGTTAGAGCTGTTACGCATAGCCCATGATATCCCTCTGTCTGGACACCTAGGCATCAGTCGGACCAAGCACAGGCTGACCCAAAATTTCTTTTGGCCAGGTATTTCCCAGGATATTAAGCGATATTGTCAGACCTGCGATACCTGCCAAAGGGTAGGCAAGAGGGGGGACAGATACAAAGCCCGACTACGGTCTCTGCCCATCATTGAAGAACCATTCAGTAGGGTGGCAGTAGACATCATAGGTCCCCTTGCAAAACCCAGCCCCTCCGGCAAGAAGTATGTCCTAACTGTGGTGGACTACGCCACCCGGTACCCTGAGGCAGTGGCCCTAACGAACGTACACGCAGAAACGGTAGCCGAGGCCCTGATGAGGATATTCACCCGGGTAGGATTTCCCCGGGAGATTATCTCCGATAGAGGCACCCAGTTTACTGCTGAAGTGACCCATCAGCTCTGGAAAACATGTGGGATACAACAAATCCTCAACTCCCCATATCACCCCCAGTCCAATGGGCTCTGTGAACGGTTTAACAGAACCCTGAAACAAATGATCCGCACGTTCATGGACACCCAAAAAGACTGGGAGCGGTTTTTACCCCACCTACTGTTCGCATATCGAGAAGTGCCGCAAGAATCCACCGGATTCTCTCCGTTCGAATTATTATTCGGGAGGAGAGTGAGGGGACCTCTTGACTTGATACGGGAACACTTGGAGGGAGACGAAACCATTAATGGCACCCCTATCTTACCATATGTGCTCGAGTTCAGGGAACGCCTGGAGAGGCTAACCCAGACCGTCCGAGACAATCTCCAGGTAGCGCAACAGCGACAGCGCCGATGGTATGACAAGGGAGCCAGGGACCGCAGCTTCCAGGTGGGGCAGAAAGTCCTAATCCTGCGACCTGTCCACAAAGATAAGCTGCAGGCTTCCTGGCAGGGCCCATACAAAGTGGTGGAACAGATCTGTGACACCACCTATGTGATCGGCCCGGTTACCGGCGTGGGAGGCAAACGCATGCTCCATGTGAACATGCTCAAGCCATACCACGAACGTACTGAGGAAGTCACCGCAATCTGTGCCCCTGCCACGGAAGATTTTGATAACCTACCCCTACCCGATCTCCTAGACCAAGAGGGCCAGAGCGGAGATCTGGGAGAGGTACAGTTAGGAGAAAGATTAAATGCCCAAGAGCGGGCCCAGGTACAAAAGTTGCTTCGGGAAAAGAAGGCCACGTTTTCCAATTTACCCGGCTATACCCCGTTGGCTACCCATAAGGTAGAAACGTTAGATCCGACCCCCTTGCGCCAACCCCCATACTGCACTCCAGAAGCAGTCAAGGAAAATATGCGCAAGGAAATTGAGGAGATGATTCAGCTAGGAGTAATAGAGCACTCGGACAGCCCCTGGGCCTCCCCGGTAGTACTGGTGCCAAAACGGGACGGGACGACCCGTTTCTGCGTAGACTACCGACGGCTCAACGATAAAACGACCTCTGACGCATATCCCATGCCCCGAATAGACGAACTCCTCGACAAGATGGCCAGGGGTCAATACCTAACCACTATAGACTTGTGCAAAGGATACTGGCAGATTCCCTTAGCGGAAGACGCCATCCCTAAGTCGGCTTTTGTCACCCCGTTTGGCCTGTATCAGTTTAAGGTCATGCCATTCGGGATGAAAAACGCTCCAGCTACCTTCCAGAGAATGGTGGACAGACTATTAGATGGGTTCCAGGAGTATGCCTGCGCGTATCTAGATGATATCGCCATATTCAGCCACTCCTGGCACGAACATCTGGTTCACATAGGAGCCATTCTAGACCGAATCCGAGAGGCCGGACTGACCCTAAAACCCAGCAAATGCCATATCGGTATGGCGGAAGTCCAGTATCTGGGGCACCGGGTAGGGAGTGGGCAACAGAAACCCGAACCTGCTAAAATAGAGGCAGTCGCCCAATGGCCTACCCCTCGCACCAAGACCCAAGTGCTCGCCTTTTTAGGGACCGCCGGGTACTACCGGAAGTTTGTGGCCAACTATAGCGCCCTCGCCAAACCCCTCACAGACCTGACCCGCAAGAACCTCCCTAAGTTAGTAGTCTGGGCCCCAGAGTGTGAGCAGGCGTTCCAACAGCTCAAGACGGCGCTTGTTAACTCTCCTGTACTTTCTGCTCCTGATCCAACTAAACGCTTTCTCGTCCACACAGACGCTTCTATGTTTGGATTGGGAGCAGTATTGAGCCAAGTTGGACCCGATGGCGGCGAGCACCCCGTAGCTTACCTAAGCCGAAAACTTTTACCCAGGGAAGTAAGCTACGCCGCCATTGAAAAGGAGTGCCTGGCTGTGGTGTGGGCCCTCAAGAAGTTGCAACCCTACTTATACGGGCAACCCTTCACTTTACTCACGGATCACAACCCGTTGGTGTGGCTGAACAGGGTGTCCGGAGACAATGCCAGGCTGCTGCGCTGGAGTTTGGCGCTGCAGCCTTTTGACTTTACTATCCACTACCGCCCTGGGAAGCAGAATGGCAACGCCGACGGGTTGTCTAGACAAACAGACTTGGAGCCGTGATTCGTGAGTACTCCTCCGGACATCCCCAAGCCGATCCGTTGGGATCAGACTGTGTATGCCGGCTTGGTTCTGGGGGAGCATTGTGGCAAACCTAGCCACTCGGACTATAACTGGACACTATGCCTTTAAGGGTTGCCTATAGGTCTGGAGAGATATGCGTTTTACCTGTATGTGTCTGCTTCATGTATTCCCTGCATTGCCTGTACCTATCTGTTCCGCCGAATGCAAATGGCGGTTTGTATGGGGATTCTCGTTCGTTTCACGAACGGCACTTTGGAGGGCCGTTCGTGAAACGAATGCGATACCCCCTAATAGCCCACACACTTAGAGGCGTGTGGCGCTAGTTAACCGATTGCAATCGGTTATTAGAGGCTCTCCTGGGTGGCCGTCGTTCGACTACCGACCATGCGGCGGTCGGCCATCTTGGATCCTTTGTTCCCCAGCGGGGTTATGTCGTCGAGCGCCTGGTACTAAAAACGGCTACTCGACGGCATGAGCCCCGCTCAGGGCCGTCTTTAATAACGAATGGACCCTGGGCAAGTGTTTGCTTGGGCCCCCTGTGCCCTGCCACTCTCGCCCCTCACTCCCTGGTATGCAATCACGGCATCCATCCCAACGCAGTGGCGGTACTAAAGTAGAATGAATTTTATTGGGACCCCCAATTGCAAGGTTGGACTAAAGGTAGAACCCCATCTGTCGTGCAACTCAACAATGCTTTGACAGCTGGGACTCTACCAATTTCCCATGCTTGCAGGGTTGTATTTAGCACTGAGCCATGTTAGTATGTTTGAATGTAAGCATGTGTTTGTATGGGGTATGTTTGTGTGAATGTGTTTGTATGTGGTACTGGAGTTTGAATGCAAGTGTGCATTTATGTGTAGTGTTTGTTTTTGAATGTAGGAGTGTGCTTGTATGTAGTGTTGATGTTTCAATGCAGGAGTGTGTTTTATATGTAGTGTTGAAGTTTGAATGGAGGGGTGTATTTGTATTTAAAGTTGCGGCTCAGATGCACAGGTACACACTGACGCACAAGCAGATACACAGATACATACACTGACTACATACAGATAAACAGGCACATACACTGACACAGGTACATATATTGACACACACACAGACACATACACTGGTAGACGTACTGAC